ATAGATAGATAGATAGATAGATAGATAGATAGCTGTGATAAGTATATTGCTAATGTCTGGTGGTTTATTGAAAGGAACAGTTAATGCTTAATTTTTTTTTTATTTTGACCAATTTGGCAGGCTTATATCTGAGCAACTGATTTGAAGACAACAGTATGCAATAGAGTAACCATTGGTGAATTCCTACCATCTTATCTAGTGAAACTCTGTATTGTCCCTAATGTTTTATTTAATAATTTTTTTTTATTTAATGGTTGATCTGGTAATCTCAGCAATGTTGTTGAAGATAACAATATGTAATATAACAACCACTGTTAATTCCTGTCATTTTGTTTTGAAACTCTGTATCATTTTTAATGTTCTTGCTTTTGTTTTCTTTATGTTTGTGATGTTGGTATGTTGGTATGTTGCTATTGTTCTTTTTTTCTTTGGCTACTCTCTTTAAAGTTAAACAGTAGAACCCAGATAAGACACAACACCAAAAAGAACAAGAAAAGTTTGGCACAAGTTACATGAAGTTTCACCCACAATATTATTATCCTGATACTGACTCAACAGTGTAGAACTTTTCTCCTAACATCCATGCTGCCAATCCAAACCAGGACTCTTTTTTTTTAATCATAGATTTGGTCTTACAAATGTTACCATTTAAGCAGAATCTCACAAGTTAAAAACTACTTAAGTGTAGTTAGTCTGTGGCTTCAAGAACCTGAGCATTTCAAGCAATATCCAAACTTGGAGCTGCGTGAAACTCAGCCACTTGTTCTCCAAGTCTCTGCAGCACCTTGTGTAGCTGCCTGATATTGTTGGTGGATTTTCCAATGGAAAGTGAAAGGGTTGATGTGTAAACTGTCCCTGAGTATGGGGGTGGTGGCCAGGACTTCCTCTTTCTGACAGATGAGGAAAGGCAGGAGAAAGTCCTTCTTTTAAAGGCTCCTCCTCGTGTCTGTGCCTCTAAAGAGCCACAAGGATGGAGAGAGGGAGCTTTGCCGGGGACCCTGGTCTTGTTCCCACTCTGCATGTTAGCTCAGAGTATTGGTCCAGTCTTTGCTCGGACACTCTGGAAGCAGCTTTCAGAAAGACCAACAGCTTCCCCCTATGCTCCTTCCCCATGTGTGTGTCACCATTGGACAACTGGTGCATGACCTGCATTTGTGCTCTCAATTTTGTGCTGGTGCTCTGTGCCCCTTGACACCCAGTGCATTGCAGTGGCCATACCATGTCCTGGCTGTGTCACTCGAGAGCCCTGTACACCCCTGCAGCTTGTCAGCTGGGGCTCTGTGCCTCTCTACCTCTGACAAACTTTCCATCAGGCCACAAGGATGGCCCGGGAGGATCCTCTCAGGTGCTGTCACTTCTTGTACCGTCTGTGCCAGTGTGGCCACTTGGACTAGGATGCCAGCCCAGGGAGACAGCATCCCTCCTAAATCAGAAAGACGCGGTTCCCTTTTGTCATCTCCCATAGTAAAAGACACTGAAACATATGCTCTTAGCAGGGGGATGGGAGTGAGGCATCAAAGCAGCCAGTTCCCCATTGTGTGGGGGCTACTTGTCCAATTGGTGGCTGCCCTTGTTTTATGGTTCCATTTCTCCTTTTACTACTAGATTGAGGACAAACATACCAAAGAAAGGATACACAAAAGTATCCCTTTTGTTCTTGTTAAAAAAAATTCTAGTCTGGTATGAAGGTGCATGCCTATAATCCCAGCTACTTGGAAGGCTGAGGCAGGAAGGTAGCACTCTCAAAGCCAGCCTGGGCAACGTAACAAGACCCCAATTTAAATAATGGGCTAAGGGTATAGCTGAGTGGTAGAGTGCTTGCGTAGCATACACGAGGCCCAAGGCCCTGGGTTCTATCCCCAGCACTGAAAAAAAAAAAAAAGAAAAGAAAACTTCTGTTAAGAGATTTTGAGGAATTTACAACTGGAACCTAAAAGTGGGTTTGAGCGTGATCTGTGGATTATGTTCCTCACTCATGAGCAGAAACTTTCAATAATCAAACCTTCCTATTCTTGCCCAGGAAGATATTAATCTTTAGCAGAATGAAAGAGAAGACTTTCCTGATAGCTTTTCTGCAGAAGTCTTTTCTTACAGAGTGAAGAAGCTGTCATCTTGGAAACAGTATATTCCAGTAGAAAGAGCCAGGAAAAGGGTCAGATGAACCTGGTTTCAAATACCAGCTCTCCTACTTCAAACTGTGTGATGTGGGAAAAAGTACTTCTCTGACACTTGGTTTTCTTACCTGTCAGAGGATTGTGCTGACTGTCAGAGTTGTGGAAAGGATTAGAGTAGAATGTGTTCATGAATGGCCAGCACAAAACCCTGCTGGTGGTAGGCACATATTAGGGGCTAGGTCCCTTCAGAGAGGAAGTAGCCGTAGGGTCACTTTCTAGCCAGATCACTTTGCCAGGTTACTTGACCTCTCGCTGCCTCGTGTCCTTACCTATAATTTGGGAATGATATTGATCATAATAATAGTTATTCCCTCAAGGATGTTGGGGTGAGTTAGTGTATCCCAAGCCCAGAGAACACACAATTTAGTACATAACCATAGTGTCAGCTATACTGCACTATATTTATTTTCTCTGCCCCTTTAATTGTTCTGGAAACTGCATAAAAAGCCACTTCAAGTGGATATGTTTAGGTGGGAAGGAGATTTTTCTTGGCAGTAAGATTCGCTGCCTTGTATGTATTTCTCCGTACAAAAATACACTGAGTGCATGCGCTGTCTACCCAGCTGGGCCACAGGGCCAGGACAGGGAGGGCGGGGACCACAGGGAGGACTCTTGATGGAATAGTGGGTTAACACTAGCAGAATAGAATTGGGTGGCATTTTCCCTGCTTCACAGATGAGCAAAGGAAATGATACTGCTGAGGAATAACTTCTCCCAAACCTCAGAGAAGTGGGGTCCCAAACAGAGGTTTGAGCTCTTGGTTCTGCTGCACTGTCAACCCCATGGAGGCAGAGGGAGAGAGAGAGAGACAGACAGAGGCACACAGACAGAGGCACACAGACAAGCAGAGATAGAGACAGAAAGAGACACAGACAGAGACAGATTCACCCGTGTCTCATGGTGCACAGAGGTATCCTGATGTGAAGTCACATACCGTAGATCCTAAGGATTAACTTTACGTGTCAATCTTGTTGAGCTGGTGCCATCCCTATGCGGCACTGCCATAAAGTTGTTGGGTGATTGATAATCCCCAGACACTCTCACACACACACTCACTCACTCCTGCATGCGCAGCACTTTCTTTCTAGTTAAAAAAACCAGCAAAGGAAGGAATCCAGAGCCTTGTACGTGGTAGGCAAGTGCTGTGCCACTGAGTTACACGCCTAGTCCTTTGAATATAACCAAATACATGCATAGAAAAACATTTCCTGAAGTTCTTTTTTTTTTTGTCTTTTTGTCTGTTTGAGACAGGGTCTCACTGTGCAGGTCCGGCTGGCCTTGGGCTCACTTTGTGGCCTGGGCTGGTCTTGAACTTGCGGCAATTCTCCTGCCTCAGTCTCCTGAGTGCTGGGATTGCAGGTGTGCGCAACCACCCCCAGCCTATCCTGAAGTTCTTACATTAATTCTAATTAGCATTTTCTTGCCCTTCAATCACATACAACTTAAGTAAGAGTACTCCACTGTTTGATCTGTTCAAATAAAAAACTATTCATTTTATTTGGAATTTGTCATCCTCAGGACAAGGACTCGGGAGCAAAACTGTTTCTACACTGAGAGTGTACAGCATGTTGCAATGTGGTGTTCATTTTCACACAAATGGTGTGCATGATTTTTTTTTTTTTTTTGGTTTTTCTCCGGTACCGGGAACCAAACTCACGACCTTGCGCCTGCCAGGCAGGCGCTTTTTGCCACTGAGCTAAATCCCCAGCCCCCGGTGTGCATGATTTTAAGTAAATTGCTGGGAGGAAACTATTTTGCTTTAGCGTGCAACTTTAAATCTTGGCTGGACCAAGTACTAACCAAGGCCAGTGTTCTGGATCTTGTACTCTGAAGTGAAAGAATGAATGTCTCTATTGTGGTGTAGATCAACAGTGTCCCCGAAAGGCTTACATATTGAGAGGTGGGGCACGGGGAGCGACTGCTTTCACCACTGATTCATCCATTCACCGCTGAAGGTGCTGTGAGGTGGTGGGGCCTGGGTGGAGAACAGGTCACTGGGGGAGTGACCTGGAAGGAAGTACTCTTGCCCGAGACCCGTCCCCCTCACTAGCTCTGTCCCCTCTGTTTCCTGATGGTCATGAGTAAACAGCCGTCCCCCTCATGCCATTCCACCACGTTTCTGCCTTAAAGCCAGCTGACCATAGACTGAAAGCCTGAGCCAAAATAAACACTTACTCCTTTGAAAAAAAAACCAGCAAATAAGAAAGGTCGTATCACTCTACTAGATTTTAAAATAACAGCTGTTAGGATTATTTTGGTGCTAGAGACTGAACCTAGGACCTTGTGCATGCTAAGTGTGTGCTTCACCGCCGAGCTGCACTAGTCAGTTCAGTTCAAATAGCAGGCAGGGAGAAAGAAAATGATGAACAAGAAGCCCTAGTGCCTGTCTTCAGTCTCAGGCTTGTGTTTCTTCTTTATCTTTCTATAGCTCCAGAAGTTCTTGCCCAGAAACCATACAGCAAAGCTGTTGACTGCTGGTCCATCGGGGTGATTGCCTACATCTTGTAAGTATTGCTTGCCCCCTGGCTTCTCTGAACCCACCTTTGCTATTGTGTCAAAATATACATAAGGCACAACGTACTGTTTCTGCCATTTTAGGGGCACAGTTCAGTGGCATTAAGTATATTCATGACAGTGTACCAGTGTCACCATTATCCATTTCTGAGAGCTTTTTATCATCTCAAACAGAAACTTTGTACCGATTAAACAATAATTGCCTCCTCCCTCCAGTCCTGCTCATCTCCATCTCCTTTTTGTCTCTTGATCCTGACTACCCCAGACACCTCACATAAGTAGAATCATACACTATTTGCCCTTTTGTGACACTCTTATTTCGTATAGCATACCCTCACAAGATCATTTGTGTCAGAATCTCCTTCCCTTATAAGGCTAATACTGTGCTTTATTGCATGATATATCACACTTGGTTTATCCATTCATCTGTCAGTGGACGTTTGAGTTGTTTCCACTTGTGGCAATTAATTTCACAATTATTGTGAGTAATGCCATGTGAACATAAATGTACAAATATCTGTTGGAATCTCTGCTTTCACTTCTTAAGGTTATATAAATTTGGGAGTAAAATTGCTGGATCATATGATCATTCTGTGTTCAGCAGTTGCTATAGCAACAGCTCAGATTCATATTCCTAGTAGTAGTGCACAGGGTTCCAATTTGTCTACATACATGCCAACACTTATATTTTCCAGTTTTTTATAATACCCGTCCTAGTGGGTAGGAATTGATATCTCATTTTGGTTTGGATTTCCATTTCCCTAATAGCTTATAACATTGAGAATCTATTTGTGTCTAATCTCAGCTTTGGAGGGGAGATAAACCACCACGAAAATATTAGGCTATCTCTAAAATAAATCATAATTAGGGAAAATATAATGAAAATCAAAATTTAGATGTTTCTTTTTTGGATTCCTCATTTCTTCTCAGATACCTTATCTCCATAACCTAAGAAAGGGGGTCCAAGCCATAGATTTGTTGCAACTATTTCCAAATCGTTAATTGTGTTTCTTATTTTTATGTTTTGTCTTTCCTGAAGCTATTTTTAATTGGCAATTTCTTTTTGCAGTTATGAGGGGGTGTTGTTCCAACTAGCTCCTGTGATTGTTAGGAATTGTGAATTCCCTTCCTCCTCATCCCCAAGGAAGGGAATGTCTTCTGGCAAACAGCACCCATCCCTGCACACAAAGAGAAACTATAGGGGATTGTGAGAATGTTCCCACAATATGCGGCATCCTGTTCTCCTCCAAGAATGCTGGCAGCAATCCCCATATCACTTTTACTCCATTATCTGGCAAGCAAATGGTCTTTCTACAGCGACATTCAACTGGGCAGCTTTTGTAGTTTAATGTGGATTTAGGTGACAGCTCCTGTAGATTCTTGCCATTAGTACAGAGGAATTTTATCCATTATAATACACTTGGCCTGAAGGGCTCCCATTTATGGAAATAGGTGGAGGGGACCTCTGAGGTCTAAAACTGACATTGCAATCGTGTAGTTTTGCTTTCAAAACATATTGACCCCCTTCTGCAGCACTTTCATCCTTTTGTGGAGGAAATGGGTTACACACCCTTTTGAGAATCTAATGAAAGCTGCAAACTCTGTGTCCTAATAAAATTCCTCACACATACACACACACACACACACACACACACACACACACACACACACACAATTTGGCACACCATTCTAGGGGGATTTCTGCATAAGCAGATACTGAACATAGGCCCTGTGTTATTCACCTTGGCTTCCTAAATTCTCAAATGAAATTCTGATCAAAGGTCTTGCCTCTTGCAGCTTGATTTAAGGCTTTTTTGCAAAGATCAAAGCTGGCGTTAATCATTTAGAGAAGTGTTCCCTAGGACTAGGGAAAAATCACCTCTCTTCGGGCCTTCTGGTTGATTATTCTTTTGTATCTGTTTGAGCCTGGAACAACCTCAACTCTAAGAATCACTTTGGGTTTGTATAATACAGTTATTTCCCTGAAGTCTTAGTTTTGAGAAAGGGCAGTGGTCTAGCCATAGGAGGTACATAGTAGCTGATCATTTCTTCAATTGCTGGAATAAGCAATTTAAAACTAAGTAACAATGTCTTTTCCTCAGGCTGCTCTAACAAAATACCATACAGTGGGTGATTTGAACAACAGGCACTTCTGACTCACTTTCTGAAGGCTGAGAAGTTCAATATGTCAATGTGTTTAGTTCCTGGTCAGGGCCTCCTTCCTGGTATGCTGTGTCCCACCATAGCATACAGTGTGCACAATGCCAAACTCTCTAGCATCTTTTCTAAACCAGTCACTAGCACAGAAAATGGGACTGTTATGATGTTGCCCCATTTTATCTTCAGCACCTCTAATAATGCCGGAAATAGAGAATGTTCTCTGGAAAAGCTGCTGTTAGCACTGATCGTGATAAAGTTGAGGTTGGTGGTCTGTGTGCACATCCAAGTTCAGGAGCTCATGGGATGAAGCTATCAATGAGGACCAGGGTATTCAGGAGGAGCAGGGACCACAAAATGTCTGACTTGAAGTTTTTATAAGACTAACATAAGCAAAGAGGAGAGACAGACCATCCATCCACCCTGCAGAGAGATGCAGGCCCAGGGCAGAGGTGCCGTGGCACCTGGAGGGTTGATGAAGACTGAAGATTCCGTGGCTTGGGCTGGTGTAGATGGCACCATAGAAGAACTCACAGGTCTCGGGCTCCGGCGATAGCTACTTCCTGTGACCCTCCATGCCTGGTCACCCATCCCCATCCACTGTCTGCAGACTACAGCAAGGCAGCTGAGCAGGACAAGACCAACAGGCAGCCTGCCAGGGAAGAAAGCTACCTAGGGGATGGCAGCAGACTCCTCCTCCTTCCCTCCCCTCCACTGGATGGAAAAGAGGTTATAGTTTTTGAAAGCAGCACTATTATTTTCATTAGATAAGCCCACCACACTGAGATACAGGGAAGGTGGCCCAGACAGACCACAGCACCAAATCTTCTCCTCTCCACGCACCATGGAAACACTTCTCATTTTGCCAGTGCGGATACTTGTTAAATTGACTCTTTTATCTTCTACTCTCATTTTTCTGTTTTCCATCATTGGAAGGAGAAATCATGTTTCCTATCAAGGGTATGAATTTTTTTAATGGGCCCTCATCCTGCCAGGGATTTCCTTTAGGGATTAGGATTTGCAAAATACATCTTTGCCCGTGCAGCGTAAGCTACAGGAAAAGACAGAGGACAGAGTGTGTTGAAATCTAATATGTGGGCTTGGCTCAGCCAAGACAGTACCAGTTCTAAGGAATGGATTTCTCCACTCAAGATGCAGATCAGGGTCTCCGGGACTAAACTGTTTTTGTGATCACAAGTTCTGCCTTCCTTCCCACGACTTCGAGGAGATCAATTTTAATGACCATTGCCCTAAATTAAGCTCATGGATGCAAAAACTGCAGAGAAACATGCTGACTTTTGATAATAATGAAACTCAGATCCTAAGAAGGTTCCCTCTCGCACACTGAAGCAGGCAGGTCAGAGGCTGGACAGGCGTTGGTGGACATAGTTGTGACCTCTGACCTCTGCCTGGAAGAAACTCTAGACAAAATACATATGATAATAATAATACTCTTAGTTTTTCACTGGTCTCCTACATTGTTCATTTTTTAAGTGACATGATGTTGATTTGCCTGTGTACACAGCTTAATTAGCTTTTGGACCAAGGACTGCCTAAGCTGCATGCTGAGTCTGTGTTTTGAGACAAAACATGATCTGAGCCCATCCCTATCCCTTTGAACACTTGTCAGCTGGCTCTTTATGGGACACGTATGCTCCAGGGAGGGACCACGACACCCAGCATCTGTGGAAGAGCTCAGTGCAATCGCTGAGCCCCAATCCCAAGCCTAGACTATTGCAGCATGGTGCTTCCTGCCGCCCTCCAAGGGGTATTCCAAGAGCAGGAGCATTTGCCACTCTGCCAGCAGCCGGCGATCATCCTGTGCTCCCGTGAGGTCTGCAGGGTGGAGCAGGTCACCCTGGGCCCATAGTATGGGCTTTAGCTTTACAAATTTAGAAACTAAATTAAATCTGCTTATTCATCTTGCTCAGATGATCCCTGTCAAAGGGTTCACACTAACCAGATTCAAAGGAGATGTGTGGCCTCAGATGTGCTCATAAAAGCTCTTGTTCGTCTCCACGTTGCCCTTTGCAACTAAGCGAAGTTTCTGTACACCACCATAGCTCTTCCTCTTTTTGCTCAGAGTAACCATGACTGGTCATTTCTTCCCCCACACCTCCTCTCTGCAGCTTGAAAGCCTGACCACAAGCCACTGGACATCCCTTTTGTCGTTCTAGCATCTCTCTAGTTCAGCATGCATGGACTGTTTGCTGCAATTCCCAGGTTGGCGGTTTGGGTTTATTGGTTATATCTCAGTTTGGCAGCTTCCCAGGGATTTTCAGAAAGGTCCGCTGCTCCCCTCTGTCCTCAGTAGTAGTGGGTTCTGTGGACACTGAATGCCATTGGTGGTTCTGAGTCCCTGTAGTTTTAGCTGCAAACACAAGTCCTGCTTGGTCATATTCCAGCTTTATTGTGGGCCTTGTGGCCCTCTCTCCCTACTTCAGGGAAGTGACTTGATTAACTGTGTGCCCCACCCTCAAAATATTCCAGTTTCAAAGAGTGGGAGCTGGTTATGTGCAGCAGTGAGGGGCACATTTGACAACAGTGCAATTGAGGGACAAAACTCTGCATTTTACAAGATGGTGGGAGCAACTCCCTGCGGTGACTTCAGACCGGTGGTGTCCACCCGTACCTTGGGGAGAGAGGGCAGCACCAAGGGAGAAACGGGAAGGGAGTGGCTCACATACATCACTTTTGCACCCTAAACTATGCGGCTTCTGGCCAGGTGGGAAAACATTTCACTCCCTCTGCTCTGTGATTTTTGTCTCAGCATCCTCTCTTGGAAACTGTCATTTATGTAGCAGCTAAATGCTTCGGGATATTTAGCCTGGAG